GAAGGGGTTGTCCTGCACTCAGTGTCCTCATTATGTGGGCAACAGAGAGCATGGAAGACAAATGGTAAACAGAAGGGGCATCGCTGGTGTAGAGGTAGAGAGAACACCCCTCATATATAAAGGTTATTGTCGGGATTCGATCTCAAGGTCGATTCCTGACCTTGAGACCTTTAGAACTTGTCTTCCCAACTTCTCTCTCAGCCCTGGGGGTCAACTGGGGGTCTTTCCAGTTTCCATTTGGAAACTGGATGAAATATGCATGAAGAGCACAAGTGATCTGAAAGCATGCACGTGCACAGCTGGCTGCAGTCCATCTATGAAAGCCTAAATGACCGCTTGACTTAATATGAAGGACAGCTGTGGTAGCAGGAGGTGAAGTCATTAGGTCTCCACCTTCCTCACCTAGAAACCACCACTGACTCACAAAAAGGCATGATTACCCCTTAAACTTTGACTGTTTAATTTTAAACTCAAACTTCAATGTATGGAATCAAAAACCTGTTTCCCAATTTAATCAGAGAGTATATCCAGCTTTTCTGTGAACACCCCAGAGGCTTGATAGATGACTTTGGAGAAAAGTATCCTAATGATAACCAAAAACCCAGCACATCAGGCAGCGGCGGTGGACAACTTGAAGAACTTAATCCTGAGCACCTTTAAAAATGAAGAAGACAGCAGCATCATTCATTCATTGATTCATTCATTTCTTCTGGAACTCTGGTTGGAAGACAGTTGGAGTTAAACACCTAAAAACACTTTAAGGACACTTGGTAGAAACTGCAAACGACACCTCCAGCACGATAATGACCCAAAAGGTCTAGACATACTAGCTCTGGACTGGCAGCTGAGTATGTGCTCTTATTAACCCTATTTTTAGCTCAGGTGCAAAGATCAGAGATAGGGATATGGACAGGTATATTTGTGCATGTTGTTCAGTTTGTGCAGGGTATCCATAGTGTGCCCTTCCATGTTGTGTGTACAGTATGTGTGTGTGTACGTGTATGTGCGTGTGTGTGTGTGTGTGTGTGTGTCTGTGTGTGCGTGCGTGTCCATCTGTGGGAGGACTAGTGTTGTGCTGCGGTTAGAGTGACGAGAGGGGTTCAAAGGCACCCAGTCATTCTCCAGGGATGAAGAATCTTGCGGAATTTGTTTGCAGGAAGAGGAAAAGCAACAACAAGGATAGACCAAATGCTATATTTGTTAGAGAAAATATTTTGGGCAGAAGAAAAAAAAAAGCATACAGAAGCTGTAAAAAAGATTCTTTGGAAAAACAAAGAATCATTCACAAGAAGGTATGAAATAGAGATAACATCCCTTTAGTAATGTAAGGTGAGAATTAAGTTAAGACCTTTAAAGTAATTGAATCTGTGACAGCTGACAAGTTAAGGGAATTCAGTGGAAAGTCTTTCTGGAAAGAAGTTTTACAAGTTCTTGGAGCTGTTGGATATAAGGACTTCTTGATACACAGGAGGTAAAACACATAAGTCACCTGTCTACTACTATCATCAGGATCTGACTCATCATGGAGAACGTTTTCTTTTTGTTTGTTTTACGTTTGTTCAGAGAGGGGAACGTTACACAGTGTGCACTTTGCAATATTTGAATTGTCGTTAGCACAGGATCTCTGAAACTTTATCTCCCTTTTCCTCAACTGTCAGTCCACCTTCTGTCCAGACTCCCTGACAGAAATTAGTGGGGTGGATTACACTTAAACCTCATATGTGTTCTAACATCTATCGTGTCTCAACATCTGTTCCAAGAGGCATTCTAACCCGGCTTCAGAGGTGCTTGTTGGAACTGTTTGTAGAATTAGCAGGATTAATTCTACTGTAAACCAGCCATGTATAAACTGCTTTGATTCAGGCTTATTAGCAGTGTGAACAAAAAAAAATCTGAGTCAGCAGATGCAGGCTTAGCATTCCAAAGTCATAAAAGATGACAAATAAAAAACACAAATATATTAAGGTGGGGTCTTTATCTCAAAAGTTTTACAGAGTTTCTAAAATTTGTCAACTGTACAGCAGTTTGTGTTTCTACACTAAAAGGTCCTGGAAAGACCATCTAAACCAGCTGATGTAGTAAGACTTTTTACCCGTCTTAAGAATTGTCTGTACCTGCAGCATACTCGTTTAATGAGATGCAACAATTTGATTTTTGTGGAAGATTTAGAACTTAGCAGGAAGAACTTAAAGTAAGCTATACAGCCTTCCTGTTATGTGCTAAAACTCTCACTTTGCACTGACTAAATGAACTACAGACATGCCTCACACCTGATTACCTGGCAGACTTGGTTCTATAAGAATCTACAGTAGTCACTTGCACACTCACCTCTCCAAATGAATTGGATTTTTAAGCAAACAAACTAGAGTTTGTGTGAATGCACACTCAGTATGTCAAAAAAGAGAAAAAATCTCTGCATCTCTGAGTTTTCTATAATTAATAGAAACATCAGCATCATATAGTGCTGCACAGTCTTGAACACCACTAGCCCTTTAAGGCTACTGCTAGAGGGTTTATCCCTCGCGCGCAGCCCACACCCACCTATTGGGTGTGAACTTCTCGGTCTGTATAAATAACAATCAGACCGGACAAACGGCTCCCTCTTTTTCTTCAGCGTAAGATAGTATAATAGAAAATTTCATCTTTAGCCTTATTTCATCTGTCATGGAGTTGATGATACTTTTTACCATTTATTTACTGTTTTTGTATTTGTGCAAGATGTGGTTTCCATTAAAGAAGTTTCCAGATAATAGATGTTTCTGCAGCTGTAATAGTATAAGAGACCTGAAGACATCCTGGGTAAAATGCTTAACCTAACAATTGTCTCAAAGGACTGACGTGTGAAATGTGGTTTGTACCCTTTTTTGACCCTGCACCCATGAGTAACTGACAAAGAAGAATTAGAAGTTTCTCTTGTTCTCTTTCCTGCCATAAAACATCCCCTCAAGAGGTGAGGGATAGTTCATGAGGTGAGGGTAAGGCTTATCTTGTGGTCCATCTGGGAATAGAGATAAGATCTGACTTTGGGTGGGTCATTTCCTTGCTGTGACTATATAATGATGTGATGTGTGTTGTACAGTTCACTTCTCCTGACTGCGTTCAGTGAGACAGGTCTTTGAACGATTTTGCCTTCGAATAAAGAAACTTAAAGACAAAGATTAATCTTTCTCTTATTGTTGAAAAAGATTCTCATTCTTTGATGAATGAAATTTCCATAACAATAGCACTGTCTTAAAAGCGAAGATGTTTTCTAGCAGTACCGTCTCTTTGTGCCTGTCCTGTTAGATGGGGTACATCATGTCCTTTGACAGGTAGCGGATCTGCGAGAGATCCCTGGCCCCCCAGCACACCGACCTTGCCCTGAAGCCTCAGCCCTCTTGCCATTCCTGTGCTCTCCTCCCACTGGAGGAGAGGAGGCGGAGGCTAGCCTTTTTCAAGGATGGCGCTAGGCGGGGCGATGAGCCCAAATATGTTGAAACAAGTTTGTCAGTCTGCTCACTTCTGATTTACAGACTCACACTTGAGTTTTTAGCATGTAAATGTCACAATGGATCATTCAACTCATGTAATTTTCACATTTTCTTTATATTTTCACTCGAAATAAACTTTTAAAAACATTCTACTGTTTAGCTACCAGATGTGTGCGGGGAAAGCCAGGTGGTACTATCCATCAGTCCTGGTTTCGGAGACCACAGAGAGCCGTGGATAAATACGAAAGTGCCAAAATGCAACAAGTGAAACTCACCAAAGTTTGTTCATACTGCAGGGCTCGCTGGTCTGAACCGTCCTCCGCCATGGCTCTGCTCCGTATCTCACCCAGTGACTGGTTGGAGGGATTTTTGGCTTGGAAGTGACAAGAAACCTGGTCAGTGACGTCTCTGCACGCACTGGCTAGTTAAAGCATCAGTCTGTCTCAAGTGTCCGTACAGCAGTTCACTAGGTGAACTCTAACTTCACGCTGTGTCTCTGTTATTGTGCTAAAACGCTTCATTTTATAGCTTTAGTTCCCAGCAAAAAACACGTGCGAGGCGGGACTTGAGTGTGGAGTAAAGCCCAGCCTCCTTCCATTTGACAGTGCAAATTGTTCCTGCAAAGCCTGTGCTAAGAGTCAAGTCTTTTTCCAGTACCTTAAAAGTATTAAGGTATCAATGTCATTTATCCAGCAACCTCAGAATTGGTCTCCCTTTTCCTGACAAAAACAATCCTGAGTGAAACCATCAGGATTCTACAGAACATAGAGAAAATCTTATTAAGGCAAAAATAATGGTAAAGGATATCAGTAGTGATATGCCTATTTTCTCCTTTCTCTTTCTTTGATTTCTTTTAGTACATAGTGCTCTTTGCCGATTGAAAACTCTCCACAAGAGGTACAGGATGCTCTGACCAGTTGCCATCACAGTTTTCCCCTTATCAAATTCACTTTGAGGACAATATGTTTACTTTTTTCATAATTTTATGATATAAAAAATATATTTATTTTTGTGTCAGAATGGGTTGTATGTAAAATTTTCAGATTAAAAAATCAAATGTACATTTAGTTGAATAAGATTAATTTGTAAATATAAATTTACCCTAAAGCTTAGAGTGTCTCCCAAAAGGAACATTTCTTTGCAGTATATTCCCAAGAACTGTTCCTCTGGGTACAGAAATAAAACCTTTATTTACTATGTCTGTACAGCTCATACCCATGTGAGTACAATCATTACTCAAAGATTTCTTCTAAGCATAAAATCTGTTTCTAGTGAATCCACTGTAGTTTGGATCAATAAGTGGAAAATTGTTCAAAGTATTTGATGTCAAAAGATCAGATTTTAACGTCAGGTCAGTTGAGCAAAAGATAGCTCTTTCTGCAGTTCAACTTGTGGTTGACTGAATTTGTCTTGAGATGCTTGATATAAAGAAACTGAAGTGTTTGATATTCTGTGGCAGTGATGTGAAAGAAATATGGGAAAATCTATTCATAGCTGTCAACAGGAGGTTCACCTTAACACAGAACAAAAACACTCAGGCTTTAAAGATTGTTAAAAAATGTGTGTGTTATTGTGTTAATGATTAGACTGATTGCTTTGTGCACTGCATGTTTGAAAGTGACAGCGTTTCTGGCTTAAAGTCCTTAAGAAATCAATCATGTGATGTTTAAATGCTTGCATGCCACAAGTTCACCAACATGTGGTCAAATAATTTCAAGAAAGTTGATTTTATTGAGATTTTACATCTGGCCTTAACTGGAAAATGTAATATTGCTTTTATCAAATAAAAATCTTTTTGTATGGATAATGTTGCTGTTGTGGTTGTTGTTTTTATGTTTTTAGATTTAGTTGCTGAACTTTGAACCCAGGTAATCAATGGGTAATGACACTGAGACGGTAAGCAACCTCTGTAATGTCAGAAAATCTGTACAGTGTTATACTAGGCATTTCATTGGAATAACAAACCTTCTCTGTTAGAGCAGCTGTTTCAAGGTTAAACAAGGATTCCAAGAATCTACTAATTTACAGTGGAAAATGACTGGAGGTATGAGAAAAACACAAATACTCAGCCTTTGTTACTGATGGTCAGTTTCCATCAGTAACTGATGGAAAATGGCCAACAAGCCATTTTCCATCAGTTACTCAGATCGGGGTCATGGTGGCTACATGGAAAACTGATTTCAGTCATTTTTTTTTAATTCTGACCATTGTTTTAAAATGACCAAAAAACATAAAACAGAAGGTGGCCACCAAGCACCAGGCACCTTGTCTGACGTTAAAAGAAGCACTCAGACCACTTGAACTTTTATTTTGTGATGTTACAACCTTAAACCTAATGTATTTCATTGGTATTGTAGGTCAGATACCAACAATAAAATGTGCACAATTGAAAAGTGGACAAAGCTGCAGAACAACAGAACAAGTCTTCTGTGTTGGGATCTTGGGTTGTTTTGAGTTGTTTTGTAGTTTGATTTGATTCTAATTTAATTGCTATTCTGTGTTAGTTTCTTATTTTGTTCCTGTTTGTCTTTAGTTCAGTCCTTTTTCAGTGGTTTTAGTTTATTATGTTTATTTGTTTTATCTAGTTATTCTTAGTTACTCTACTTTAATTATGTTTCCTGTATTTAGTTTTGTTGTACTGTTGGATTAATTTCCTAGTCCCCTGTGCCTCTCTCTCTCTCTCTCTCTCTCTCTCTCTCTCTCTCCTCAGTCTGCCTTCTGCTCTCTCTCCTCACACCTGCAATCAGTCAATCAGCCCTGGTCCATTTTTCCAGCATTCTCTAACTGATTGATGGTTAAAAAGTTGAATTTAGGAACCGAAAAAGAGGAAGACAAAGATAAAGAAATAAGACTATCTTGGACATCTGGAAGTCGGCGTCGAGGAAATGCTTAAGATGATATCGGGAAATCCTGTGGATTGGTGAAAGAACTTTGGGCAAAGATTATGGCGGGTAGACACAGCTGTGCTGTGAATGGACCAGAGTGGGAAAATAGTATAGATAATGAGTGATAGGGATGAATAAAGTTTCTGTCTATCTATCTATCTATCTATCTATCTATCTATCTATCTATCTATCTATCTATCTATCTATCTATCTATCTATCTATCTATCTATCAGTGAAACATCGAGTAGTGAAAGGATGAGCCCAAAAATAGGAAATTATTCAGCGACCGCAGGTGTAGGAAAGAGGGGAATATTGGTGAAAAACTGGGTTGAGTCTGAAGAAATGGAGGGGGAAATAAGGGAGTTCAAAGTAATTGTTAGAGTTAACGAGGAGAAAGCATTGCAAACACTCAGTCCAGTTAAACTATCCATGGTTCTGAAGAATCAAGTGGGGGACATTACTAATGCAAAAGTTCTAAGAGATGGAAACTTAACGATAATTTGTAATACAGAAGAACAAAAAGACAGAGCATGTAGGATGAAAGAAGTAGGAAAGTATAAAGTGACAAGCGTGAGTCTGGTACAAGAAGGAAGTAAATGAAGGAAGGGAGTGATTTGGGGTATCCCGATTGAGGTTTCAATTGAGGAAATAAAATCAAATCTCAGAGGAGGAAAAGTTAAAGATGTAAGAAGACTTCAGACCTTTAAAAATGTAGAGAAAATGAACAGTGAAAGTGTTTTCATAGAGTTTGATGAAGAAAGACTTCCAGAGAGAGTCTATTTAGGATATTTGACCTACAATGTAAGAGAGTATGTCACACAACCAATTAGATGCTTTAAATGTCAAAGATTTGGCCATACAGCTCAGACATGTAAAGGAAAGAGAATATGTGCACGATGTGGAGAAGATCATGAATATGAAGAATGCAATAAGAGCAGGAAGCCAAAATGTTGTAATTGTGGTGGCAGCCACAGTGTGGCACATGGGGGCTGTGAAGTAATGAAGAGGGAAGTGCAGGTCCAACAAGTTAGAGTAAGAAACAAATTATCCTATGCAGAGGCTGTTAAAGTGGTAAAGCAAAGAACGGAGGTTGGGGTGGAAAACAGGATGAATACAAGGTTAAACCAAACAAAAGAAAATAAAGTGTATGTGAATTTAAAAAAGCTAGTGATATTTATTGCAGGGGTTATAAATGCAACAATGGAAATTAAGTCGAAAACAGAAAGAATTCAAGTAATAGTGAAAGCGGCAGCAAATCATCTTAACATTAATGAATTAACATGGGAGGAAGTGAGGGATGACCTCAGTGCTCAGGCCAGTCAGGAGGAGATAGTTATACTATGGTCTTGATTCCTCAATGGAATGCAAAAAATTTAAAATCAAATGGACAGGAATTAAAGCATTTTATTGATAAATTAGAAGAAGCTCCAGAGGTTATTTGTATACAAGAAACTTGTTTAAAACCCCAATTAGACTTTAGAATCTTAAATTATTCTACTATTAGATTTGATCGGATTGAAGGTAATGGTGGGGGATGTGGAGGGGTTCCCGTTTAGAGTAGTTAAGAGAGGAAAAGATGAGTTTGTAAATGAGGAGATTTGGATAAATTTGGATAAAAAGATCCATTTATTATAATAGATTATTACAATCCATGTGAAAGATTAGAGCTGGATAAAATAAAATAAATTCAGGGACAAAATAGAAATAAAGTTATTTGGTGTGCAGATTTGAATGCCCATAGCAATTTATGGGTATGGCAGGGGAACTGATACAAATGGAGATATAATAGAACAGCTGTTGGAAGAAGATAATCAATTAGTGGGAATGATGGGAGGGGAACAAGAATAGATGTGCACATGGACGGTGCCAGGAATCTTGGGCCCCATGACAAAAAATTAAATTGGGCCCCCCACTGCGCAACTACTGTTACAGTTTCTTCAGTTTATCTCCACATTTGTTTAAGTTGTCACAATGTTGTGACCGTTTGCTATGAGACAGATAATCTGTGAAAAAAATCAATCTCCTTCACCTCCTCCCTGAACTACTATTGTTAGCTAAAGTAATGCACCGTTCTGAGCAAAAACAACCAATCAGAACCAGGAGGAGGGTCTTAGTGTTGTTAATCAACCTCATTCACTCACTGCTAAATGTGCTAATGGTGGAGAAACAACTTATTGTGACAGGAAAACTGTTTATCTGCTGTCATTGGTAGCTATGTTAACTAAACTGAGCATTCACAGTTTGAATCTGCACAGCTCTGTGCTATGCTAGCTGCAGCACGGCACAAATCAAGGAGGAGGAAGGATGAGCAGCACCACATGAGATTGTGATTGACAGCACTAAAACTCTCCTGCCACTGACTGGTTGTTTCTAGCACTGGGAGAAAGCAGAGGAAATAGATTTTTCACAGATTACCTCTCATACCATACTGTCACAACATAATGACAGTTTTAACAAATATGTAAAAATATATATTTTTTATAAAAGTTACATACTGCAGCTTTAATTTCACTTTATAAAGATTGTTTGACTTTCTGTCAGCCAGAAATATATTGATTTTGTTGTGTAATTGTAAAGAGA